TGCTGCTGCTGCTGCTGCTGCTGCGCCTTCCTACGGCTCTGCTGCGCTCCCCCTGTAAGCTGCTGCCTTTTGCTTTTCCTTTTTTCTTGCTGCAGCTTTTTAATTTAATTTAATTAAATAATTTCTTCCTTTTTTTTTAAATTAACTCTTTTTTCGTTCTTTTTAATTTGTTTCCTTTTGCTTCTTTTTTCTTTTTTCCTTTTTCACTTTATTTCTTTTTTTAATTTTTCCATTTCTAATTTTACTCATTTGTATTATTTGTTTTTGTTTCAATTTTACTCATTTGTACTATTTATTCTTATTTTCTCTCTTTACCTTTATATCTTTTATTCGAAGTTTCAAAAATCGTTTTTTTTAAATTCTTTTTTATCGTTCTAATGCTTTATATTTAATCTTTTAAATCTTTTTATTTTATCTTTATTTTATTTTAGTTTGTTTTATTTTATTTTATTTTATCTTATTTTATTTCTTATTTTAGATCTTTTAAATGCTTGCTGCAGCTGCTGCTGCCAGTGCCGGACTTGGCTGGATTTTGATCATTTTCGGTCCATTTTTTTGGCTTTTTTCTGCAATTTCCTGCAAATAAATCTCCACTTGAACAATTTAATTCTTTTTAATTCTTTTTGTTTCTTTTTATTTCCTTTTATTTCTTTTTTTTGCTTCATTTTGCGCACTTTTGCCTCTTTGCTGCTGCCCCTGCTCTTAGGGCCCCCCAGCTGCCCCCGCCCCTGGACCCTTTCCTCTGCGCGGCCCTGGCCAGCGAGAGGGGCCCCCTGTGGGGGCCCCCTGGGGGCCCCCCCCTGTGGGGGGCCCCCACGGGGGGGCCCCTGTGGGGCCCCCAGGGGGGCCCCCAGGGGGGCCCCCAGGGGCCCCTGCGCTCGCTTGACCTTCCCGAGGCACTGCAGCACCGCAGGCTGCAGCAACCCATGGACTGGGGGCCCCACTCTAGTCGATTTGTTACTTCTTTAGTTTCTACAGTATATGTTGCTGCAACAGACCCCACATGTGCCCCTATAGGGGAGCCCACGGCCCTGTGGCCGGCCTCTCCGGTGCAGCAGCAGCAGCAGCAGCAGCTGCAACAGGAGCCGCAGCAGCAGCAGCAGCTGCTGCAGCAGCAGCTCATGCAGCAGCAGCTGCTGCTCGTGGGCGACGGAGACCTGCGGCTCATGGACACCCCGAGGCTCCTCGAAGGGGCCCTGGGCGCTGCTGCTGCTGCTGCTGCTACGGACTTCGGGGGGCCCCCTGCTGCGCTGCTGTCCCCAGCGACAGAACCGGAGGGGGGCCCCCGTGCTGCGCAGCAAGAAGACCCTAGGGGCCCCCTG